GAACCAGCCCCGAGAAGTCCTGGATTTACGCAGCAGCTACAGACGTGCCTGAATGGCACCCGGCGAGCAGAACAACGTGTGCAATCCTTGCAGCACCAGGTCAAGGAGCGGACTCGTCAGTGGGACCAGTACGTCGCGGACATGAAGGCGACGCTCCGCAAGGAGCAGCTCCGCTACCAGAAGGACCAGCAGAGGCTGCAAGGGGACATGGACAAGGCCCTCGCAGCCCAGGCGGAAGCCAGGGAAGAGCTGACCAGGGTCTCTATGCAGGGACGTGCAGAGACCGAGCGGCCAGCTCCCACAAGAGATGTCGAGGACGAATGGGACCGAAGGATGCGAGACTGGCAGGCCGAAGGCATGGACGGTGGTGCGGACGGTATCCTGACCAGGGCGCTCATGGCAACCGGACGTCCACCAGTTGCCGCCGACGAAGTGGCGGCGGCAGAATGGCGCAGACGTGTGTATGGGCTCCATCCTCAAGAGGATGGCCACCCTTTGCCGAGTGGGCCCAGTGCACCGCCGACCTACGTGGACAGGGAAATACCAATGGGCGGACTACCTGCACAGACGGAGGCCCCACCGCCGCCAGTTCACACCGAGCCCAGAGGAGATGTGACGATGCCGGACTTGCCATCCCGGCCACCGTATGTGAGCTCTCCGGGGGCTCCAGGCTTGGTGGCAGGATCCCCGGCATCCAAAGCCAAAGCCGGTATCCCCGCGCATCGCGCTCCAGTGAAGGCCAGGACACCGCCGGCGACTACCCGCCCAGCAGGCCCGACACTCGACGAGAAGCTCGACGCGAGGAGGGCTCACGCGGGCTTGAGGCTGCAGGAGGAGCCGTGCCCACATGCGACAGAGGCCACGGCCTCTGCAAATCATCCAGCACCGACGGGCCCTGGCCCCGGTGCTATAGCCCTCGTGGACGACGATCAAGAGGTTCTTGGAGCAGCCTCTCCTGGCTTCCACCAGATCGACACCTGAAATGGAGTGAGCATCTACGGATAGATCCGCTTTGCAAGTTGGGGAGCCCCTTCAGGGAATGGCGCCTAGCGGGATCAGTACTTGGTGAGCCTTGTGGGAAGGCTCATCTTTGTCGATTTCCCGGTGGGCAAGCCTCCTTGCAGGTGGCTCTCTCCACTTTGCGCTGTGTGATCTATCC